CTCTATTTCCACGAAAGTAAAAGCCTACTTCAACTGCAGTGTCTCTGTATGCTGGTTTGCGTGTTCTCCAACACAACTCTCACAACGCTTCGCTGAATGTACTCGCTCTCCCAACGGGGAGCTTACCTAACAGTCCCTATTTTTCTACTTGCATTTTTTATGTGCTTTCGAACTGCTAGGTTGGCAGAAGCTGGGACAAGCAACGGGAACTCACTCCGTTACGCGGCACTGGGGATTCAAACCGCAGAACTGCTGACCATTTTGATGAACAAGCTCAGTTTCTTAACCACTGAGCCATCATGATAGGAATAAATATATCTGCTCAGGAGTTATACCATTACCCACTACTTGATCAGTGTTCAATATTTAACAAGACTCACCTGGACGTGCATGAAAAAGGTCCCAAACACCAACAGAGCTGCTGCGTGGACAACGTAGACGAATACAGCAGGAGAACCAAAACCCTCTGCTGGCTTGTGTGAGTCATGGTCTTGCATGCCTGCGCTCTTCCTTCTCACCAGGCCAAGCGTTAGACAGTGCCAGGGATTGGCGGTGACATACCACCAGCTCGCCCAAGAGCCCAACACAATAGCGGGAGAAGCTAGTAGAAAGTTTGGGATCTGTTTGAGTTCAAAGTACCGGAGGAAGCCGACATTCCAGTAGGTGTCTTGTATATAAGTGTAAAGCACGGGAAAGTTCCAGGAGCACCACGGGGGCATCCCGCCCTCTGAAGCTGCAACACGATAGCCCTTGGATTCAGCCAACTGCAACAGCGGCTTCGGAATGGCGTATCCCAGGCCAATGTTGGGACGGCAGAACTTAAGGTAGGCGTAGCATTGAAACAAAGCAAAAGGCAGAGCCACGGAGGCCGACATCAGCACCAAAGCAGCAGCCAGTTTTAGAAACTGGCCTTTCTTTTGCAACACGCTTTCACTTGCTTGAAAGCTGAAAGCGAAGAGTTTTGTCTGGGAATAGATGAGAAATCCTGCGTTAATTAGCCCGTTGGAACGTACTCCGGTGGCTAACGAAAAGAGGAGGAGGCTAAGCCAAGGATGCCCTTTCTCTAGCCTCCACAAAGCAGCAAACACCAGGAAGGCAAACAGGCTTTCCGAGTAAGCAGCCGCCATAAAGACGTTAGCTGGAGTGAGGCAGAAGAGGACGGCCGACAGAAAAGCCCTCCTTCGGCACTGCAGGACTGCCAAGCTGAGCTCATAGAGAGTCCCAGAGGCTAAAACAGAAAAAACAGCATTGAGGAGAACTGCAGAGAGGAGCAGGCAGCTCCGGAAGCTGAGAAAGCCTTGGAGAGGCCAGAAGATCAGGCTTGCGACTGCTTTTAGGGCCAGGGGGAACAGGGGGAAGAAGGCACAGTTGTGCTCATACACGTAGCCATGCTCGGCTATGAACAGGAAGTGCTCTGCATCCCAACGGGAGAGGCCTCCCAGGAACCATTCCAGCAGCTGGTCCAAGAACCCGGGGTCAGAGAGGCGGGGAGGAGAGAAGGCGTCTGCAGCATGATCGGGAATCAGGAAATTGAAAAGGGCCTGGGTGGGGGGAAAAAAACAGTGGAAAATGGCAACTAAGCAAAGAAAAAGGCATGAAAAGATCTCTCTCATTACACAATATTATTTTCAAACCATTTATGTACAGAGGTGTTCATAGCCATAAAAAAAAGCAATAAATGGAGATGGAATAAGAGCCTCGGTGGCGCAGTGGTCAGAGTGCAGTACTGCAGGCTACTTCTGCTGACTGCCGGCTGCCTGGAATTTGGCAGTTCGAATCCCACCAGGCTCAAGGTTGACTCAGCCTTCCATCCTTCCGAGGTTGGTAAAATGGGGACCCAGATTGGGGGCAATAGGCTGTCTCTGTAAACCGCTTAGAGAGATCTGTAAAAGCACTGTGAAGCAGTATATAAGTATATAAGTGCTATTGCTATATTGCAGATAGTGAGGAAGTGCCATTTTACACTTTTTAGATCTCTGTGTTCAGACCCCATTTGATTGAAATAAGGAAGGCACCCAAACAAAGTCAAACAGGTAGTCCTCAACTTACAACCATTCATTTAGCAACAGATCAAACCATTTGTTTACAAGAGTACTGAAAAATTTGATCTATGACCAGTCCTCTCACTTACAACCATCACAGCAAACTACAATCATACATTCAAAATTAAGGCACTTGGCAACTGGAATGTATTTGTGACAGTTGCAGTCTTCGAGGGTCCTGTGTTTGTCACTGGCAACAAACCTCCCACCCCCGTTTCTGACAAGTAAAGTCAATCATCATCTTCATTTAACGATACCCCGTCCCCCCAACCCCTTGCGGGGTGGGATCTGGGCAACTGAATGGAGCTAGCAGAGTGTTTTAATGGCCAGATGCCCTTCCTGTCTCCAATGCAGAATTTTGTTCAGCAGATCTATTCTCTGTGCCGAGAGAGAAATATCTACCTCTACCTAGAATTGAACTCACAGCCTCTTGATTGTGAGGCAAAAGCTCCACTTCTAGGCCACCGCACCACTCAACAACGGTGGCAATGAAGGTTGTAAATTCAGTGATGGCTCACTTTACAACCACCTTGCTTAGCAACGGAAATGCTGGTCCCAATTGTGGTCATAAGTCAAGTGCTACCTTTATTTGTATTGTATACAGAGAGACTGTTAAAATAATACCTTATGAAAATAAGGCTGCTTAGACATGCTTGCTCATCATTTGACCATTTTCAACTGAACGTGTTAATCTTCGCATACCAGCATGTGTGTGTCCGTATCGTAAGTAGTAAATTTCTATTTTTCACAGTGAGGCGTTTATTGTGAAATCAAAGCGCTAGGTTTAATGCATAATTAATCCCTTGAGTCATAGCCATCAAGCATCATCCAAATTAGATCTCCATATGGCTGATTCTCAGGTAAAGCAGACAAAGGGAAACACTTCTTGCCTTCACTTGCACAAGTGAATTGTGGAGTTCAGTGCAAGATGATGCAATGAAGGCTGTTGACTTCAGTAGCTTTAAGGATGAAATTGTTGTTGTTGTTGCTAGTCATGAGGTCGTGTCCGACCCATCACGACACCATGGACAACGTTCCCCCAGGTCTTCCTGCCCTCTACTATCCCCTGGAGTCCATTTAAGCTCACACCAACTGCTTTGGTGACTCAATCCAGCCACCACATTCTCTTCCATCCCCTTCTTCTTTTGCCCTCCATCATTCCCAGCATCAGGCTCTTCTCCAGTGAATCCTTCTTCCTTCTCCTTAGGTGGCCAAAGTATCCTCTTCAAGATCTGGCCTTCTAAAGAGCAGTCAGGGTTGACCTCCTCTAGGACTGAGTGGTTGGATCGCCTTGCAGTCCAAAGGACTCGCAGGAGTCTTCTCCAGCACCAGAGTTCAAAGGCCTCCATTCTTTGGCGTTCAGCCTTCCTTATGGTCCAACCTTCACAGCCATACATTGCAACTGGGAAAACCATAGCCTTGCCAACATAAGCCTTGACTATACGTATATAAGGATGAATAATGACTATCAAAAGGAGGAGCAGCACTTGGGCAGATCTTTATAATTAAGCGTAAATCGAGGACTCTGTAGATTAGCTTTTAAGAGGATGGCGCTTCCTGGATTAGCCAATGTGGATTTTTAGGAAACACGCTGACTGAATACTATAGTTATGGCCCCTCTTAATATCATAATATTAGATTTTTTTTCTCAATAATTTAAGCAGCGTTTAAAGCAGTGGTCTCCAACCAAGGCTCTGTGGGCCTGTGTGCGTGTGGGGGAGATTTGGGCCGCAATGAGTGAAGTATGCATATGCACAGCTTCACTTGTGCGAATGATCAACGAGCATGCATGCAGGTCCATTTGCACGAGTGGTGGGCACTTGTGCTCACCAGCCACTTGCACAAGTGGAACTGCGCACACTTGCTCGCCCGCCCACCACTTCTGCAGCCCGGTTCCAAACAGACTGTAGCCATGACCCAGGGGTTGAGGAACCCTGTATCTAAAGAACATCCTGATCTGTGGATGGACAGATAATATTATAATCATATTACTACTTATTATGCAATTATAGATTTATGATCGATTTTTGTTAATTATTTGGGGACTTGCCTGAAGCAGGAGTGTAACAATTCTGCAAAATACTGCAAAGCAAACCACCTCTTGGTAACGTGTGTTTCTACAGTTGCTTAGTGGCATCCTGGCCTTGAAGCTCGGATCGTTGTAAACATCCATGTAGGGTATTTCGGTAAGAAATGTTGAAAGCCTAAAACCAGAAAATAAGATCAATGATATGAAGGCTAGAATTTATTGCCACATTTATAAATTGGGCATTTGTGTCTGGCATTTCATTTTGGCTGAGGTTGGAGAGTTGTGTGAGGCACGACTTCATTGTTGCAGACCTTGGGGCTAGTCCTCCTGGCGATTTGTGTTTGAGAATCAGGATTCTCCTGATCTAGAGTTATGGCTGGTATATTTTTTCAGAGAATTGCATAAAAACCCATTTACAAAATACAAAGGAAAGGACCTCTTTTGTATAGGCAAGCATTTCTCAAAAACTGATGATTCGATAACCTTTCCTTTAAAAGGAAAAGGAAAGAAAACCTTATGCCAAGCTAAGCCAGGCTAATATGCTCCTTATTTCTAGCCACTTTGTTGGTTTTAAGAATAAACTTCCCCAGTTATCAGGAGTGAAGTGAAAAAAACCTCTTCTTTAAAATGGAAAGATTAAATGGTTTGAAATTCCCTGCAGTTTAAACTGGCTACCACCAGAGGGAAGCAAATGCCCACTATGTTCATAGTTCTCCAGTATATCAGTGTTTCTCAATTTTGGCAACTTGCAAGATGTGTGGATTTCAATTCCCAGAATTCCCCACCTAGCTGGTGCGCCTAAGGAATTCTGGAAGTTGAAGTCCACACATCTTCAAGCTGCCAAGGTTGAGAAACACTGCAGTATATTGTTGTGATGATCAAAATGTAAATACTAAATGCTATAGTATAAGACATTCATGCAATTTCTTACTCATGCATTCTGTGACATTTTATTTGATTGGATTCCAGGCATTGGATAAAAACTGCTCTGTTTTTCTAGGTTTTGTAATCTTGTGATTGTACTACTGTTTTTAAATGTTATCTTTTATATTATCCTGTTATCTATGATGATGAAAATATTGAAAACCAGGATTAAAATATTTAAAATAAGTACAGAATAGGAGTGAATAAAACCAAACTACATTGATAGCTTTCAAAATTCAAAACTTTTTAATGAGATTTTCCTTGATTGTTTTTGATAATCTATCATCTACTCAGAAATCAATCTTAATTAAGTCAATAATTTCTGGCAGATGTGTCTAAATCAAGAAAGAAACTCAGAAAAATCATATACAATAATGTAACTTTAATACTCCATACTCTTGCATTCAGCTTTTAAGATCTGCATTTTTTTTTCTTATTTAAGCAAATACTGTCCTCTTCCTCAAAACCTGGGAGAAACCACTTTCATTCCTATATATTTTAATCTATCAGTGGCAATAAGACCATTTAGGTACATATAATTGCTCTGAAATATCTAGAAAAGTTTGCCATTATGGTTGCAAAGTTGTACTTGCATGTAAAGCCTCAAAATTCCAGTGTTAGGCTGATATAAAAATGTTTTCCAATCTATTAGGTAATATATCCAAAACCCAAACTGTCAGAATGAGGAATACTTTAAATTCATAACCATATGAATAAAGATGCATACTTTAAACACACATAGAACGGAGATTGGTGATTTGGCTTGCCCAGGTTAAACTTGGCAAATCTAATTGGACCAAAACAAGATCCACACAAGAAATCTATTTCTTTTCTGTCATATAGAGCTTATTCCTGATTTAACCTACTGTATATACACAAACATATACATGCTTATATTATTTATATTTATGCAATGAGAATAATGACTTATCTAGCTCATTTGAAACCAAGGCAGAAGCTCACCAACAAACCTAGGCAAAACCTCTTAAAATGTTCCAATACTGTACAGTATAAAGTCCATACACCTAATTTCCAACATTCTGCATTCATATACAGAAATGTGAAAACACAAGATAATTTTATGTATGAAAACTAAACCTGAGGACAATATATCTATGTATCTATATCAAAACAGAAACAAAAAATACCTTCAGAAGTGACAGGAATAAACCGTCCCAGCTGCCAAATAGTTATGTTGTTTGCATGGATTTAACTTTTAACATCTATTGTTATTTTACCCCTCATCATACATAATCTTCATCCACGAAGATGATTTCAGGTTTCTGTAAACAGAAAATGGTAATGCTAAGAAAATGATAGTTGTAAGCAAAATACTGTACTTGAAGAGCTGTGTACATCATAAAAAGCAAGACATTGGGCTCATTATAATACATAAACACAGCCTATAACAGTGTTTTTCAACCCTGACAACTTTAGCACATTTAAAATTTGAGAGTGGTCTATATGTCCTCTGACATTGATTTCCTTCATTTACATCTACAAATTTCGGTCAGCCTCAATTCTTCTTGGGCGGCCTCCCCCACCCCCTATACGTTGCTCCTTAAATAGTGCAATTACCTGCTCTGCACAGTTCCCGCCACAAAAGGCAATTCTCCAGCAAAGAACTTCAATTTCATATTAGCTTTTTTTTTTACCAGTAAGGATGAAGATCATTCATTTAGGAATGGTTCAAAAACAAACAAACTGCACCATCATGTTTTTTTTTTGTTGTTTCTGGGATTCAATCTGAAAAACATGAAAATAAATTTGGTATTTTCAAAAGGAAATCCATGATTGCTTGAAAACACATTTTAAAAGATTACATGGGATTAGACTGACTCTGACTCACTTGACATGCTAAGCAAGTCAGATCATATTTTATGCTTGATTTCATATTATCTAAGCCTTTTAGTACAGACGATAATGCTGGATTTACACCAAGTACAGTATACAATATTGTAAAAGAGGTACCACAAAACAAATGATGCTATTCATTTCTGATCTAACTCTTTTTATTATCAAACTATTGTTGCATTTTTTAAAATTTATCTAGGAAAATACTGGCATTAATAAGCATTCAATAACATGTTAAAGAAATTGACATGGATCAACAAAAGCCAGCTAACTGTTTTTCTGTAAAAAATATTTTTTTAAAAATGGAATATCTTATTCTGGATTAACATGCCAACATAAACATTGTTTATTATTTATTCAATTTATAAGATGCCTACATCATCGTAACAATTCTAGGCAACATGTAATAAAGTAAGTGAGTGTTTAAAAACAAAGGCAAATGAGAAAACAGTAAGCATAATAACTAAGAAACCACCTTGGGGACCTTACAAAGATAAATACAAACCAACAATCAATCGATCCCAAAAGCAGAATCACAAATCACTCTCCCCAGGACTGCACTGCTTTACACTTTTAATAATTTATTCAGCAAAATAAGAATTGCTCAACAAAAAGTAAAAAAAGTCACTATAGTTACATAGGAAATATGATGCTAAAAGCTTCACCAAAAGCTGAATAATTGTAGAAGCCACCCCAGAGTCTAAACTGCATCAGACACAGCCGTTTATTTATGCCAATGTTTGATTTTAAAATATGAAACATGAACAGAAGCAGAAATGATAGCCCCTTAGAACTTGACCTTGGATCAGGTTTTAATCTTCCTTTCACACTTCAGTGCAGCAGCTTGCATACATATAGGAAACTGTCACTACTGCATACATTGAATCAGCTGTGAAAAGTGGCACAGGTCAATTCCAATTTTTAAAAAAGGACAATTCTACGAACACTCAGGCAAGCACGTTCACTGCAGAGTTTCTTATTTCTAGCAATAAGCTTGTACGGTTTTAAAACTACAGTTTAATTGGTCACTTTAGCAGGTAGGACCAGAGCACACTTTCTAGTATAGGAACAAGTTACCATAAAACATGCCACAAGAGTTTGCATATATACGTTCCTGTTCTATTTAAGCATTCCTGGTTTTAAAAAATGTCAGCAGATCCTGAGGAAGCATGTGATTTAAATGTACTGGATTGCAGATCTAATCTTTGTTACAACCTTCCTCAAGCTCATGCTCTCCACATATACCAAGTTCTTCTCCCAGCATTTGATCAAGAAGAGCCACTAAGATATCATTAATTCTTTGATCAAGAATCCTAGTACACATTCTAGAAGTTGCCATACTGGGAGAGGCTGTATTAAAGGGGTGTTGGGAAACAGAGATGCAAGGCCTTTTTCCTGAGACATCGCACTATTAGATGAACCAAGGTTTTGATGTAAAAGGAAAGGGTTTTTATACTGTCAACTTGTCTACCTACCTAATCAATCATCTTTTCCAACTAGCAATAAGGACCTAAGAAAGTGGTGTTTTCTGTCATCAGGTATTTTCAAAATGCAAATTACATCCTCTTTCATTAAATTCATCCCTCTTATTCTGGTGTATTACTTAGCTCCACCTTTTCTCTAACTCAGAAATGCATCTGAATCTGTCATATTTTCTTCTTTTAAAAAGTGGCAAACCAAAAATAGGAGGAGGGGGATCTGGAAGAGGTTCAAAAAGATATAAAACCTCATTGTTTATATTTATAAATTTGCTTTGCAAAGAAAAAATTCAACATCCAACTTTACAAAAACACACCCTATTAAAAATATCTATCAAAGGAATTATGTAATTTACTTTGAAAAGACAGTTCAATTTCTGTATTTTCCACATGAATGTGAAAGACCGTGCATTGTGGTATTATTTGTACGGTAAAAGTTAAATAATTCAAATAAAAGACCAAAGTGAGTTTTTGCAAAATAGTCTAGCTTTCGGAAACAAAGGACTGTTTCCTTAGAATAAAGGACATAAGGTCACTGCATGTACCTCCCGGGTATATCTATGAACCCAACAAGCCCTGTGTGCTAACTTAAAACAAAAGTAGATCCATTTGTTTGCAAAATACACTCAGAGCTACTTCACTATATTTTAGTCCAGTGTGTAGTGAATCCTAGCCCTTAGCCTGAATGTCAGTGTCACACACAAACTCAGAAAAACAATTCACCAGGTTGAATTGTATCTCTGAGCAGGTACCTAAGACTAGGTGGGTGATGAGGCTATCTGGCTGACCTTTGAGCCCAGGTGGGTCAAGGAGTCCGTCCCCTTCCATCAACCCCAAACCCTTTAGCTATAGCTATGCCTACAGGTAAGACGAAGCTATGCTGCATAGCTGGCTGGAGAATTCTGGGAGTTGAAGTCCACAAGTCTTAACGTTGCCATGTTTGGGGACCCCTGGGATAGACCGTAGCAAATAGGAGGGGGCCCATGCGGAGCGGTGCTTCTGCGACCAGAATCGTCCGGGGAAATGTTAACAGTCGAACCCGTCCCCCACTGCCCGTCCCTGCAGGGCGGTGGCGCCGCCGCCCCACGCGGGACTTCAACCACACATCTCTCTCCAACCCCCAACCCTACCCTCCGCACACTCACAGGTTCCCCATTCCTCCTACTTCCGGATTTCCGGGTAAGCACGGGGCTCTCGGCGCCTGCGCAGTAACGGAAGGTAGACGCCCTTCCGGCGTGAAAACGCAGAATCATCGATAATAGGAGAGAGAGAGGGGCAAGACGAGTTTCACCATAGAGTTTCTATAGCGGGGGTGTATATATATTTCGACTTTAGTATGTATATAAATATATGTGTGTATGTGTACAAACACACACACAGAGTTCGACTTTAGTTAACGCATTGACCTTTTAAGTCGCCATAAAACTTTTTACAAGCCAATGGCTTGGAGCTGATAAAGTCGCTGAAGCCTGCTTAGGCGTGAGTCTTCCCTATAAGGACACAAGAAAAGAGTCGGTCTAACCTACAGTAACCTTAGGGTGCATTTCTCAATACCTGCTTGCCCTGCGGGAAGTTAACGATGCAGAACGCGCTGAATTTATTTGCGGGGGTAAGGAGGACCTTATGAAAGGAACACCACCTCCCGTCAAGTAATAGGCTTGCCTAGGGATGTGAAGCAAGAGACGCCATATTTGTTAAGGGAATCAGGACCGACATTGCCAAGGCCTTTCTGCCGTAGGGCAGAGTGAAACGGTCATCGGCTGGACTAAGTTTCCTTCCGCGGATTTAAATACTGCAGGAGGAATTGTGAATTAGACGCACGTGGCTTTCTTCATCGGCGAATTCAATACAGAAAAAGGTTTATATTGCGTAAACACACAACTAAAATCACTTTTGATGCCCAGCCCTTGTATAGAGTGATAGCACTGGAGCCTGACTTTCAGAGGTTTCTATCATAGTTCCCAGAATTCATGACCATTTGTTGTGTTGTCCAAAACAACTAAAGATGAACAAACATTAAACCTTCTTTAAGCTGCTGCAGGACAAGAGCAGTGATCCCGTTTTTAATTGTGAACTCTCAAAGGTAATAGTAAGGAAAATAGATCTCTTCCCATCACTTAATAAAGTTGGAAGGAGGTCTTCTAGTCCAACCCCCAGCTCAGGCAGGGAACCCTATACTATTTCAGAAAAATGCTTGTCCAATCTCTTTCTAAAAACATTCTACAGTGCAGCTGTGTTCGACCTGCAATTCTTTATTCTTTGGAGCATTTTAAACTACAGTAGGCCTACAGTACTACTTCTCAGTATTTGAAACATGCTTTGTTTCTACAAATTTAGCTATTGCTTTGGTTGACTGTCCAACTACAAGTCATGAATACTGAGACCAATATACATATTCATAAAGATAAAATATCCCCCCCCAATCCTTTCAAACTAGACTTTTTAAAAAGCTGAATTGACTTTCCTCTGATTGTGAGAGAACTGCTGAAGGTGCTAATGTATAAAACATGGCATTCGGATTTGGGAAACAAATCCATGCTTGTAACTAAGGTTTACCTGCACAAAAACCTTTTGTGTAAAAAAAAATACAGCTATGACATAGTTGATTCATACAGTACTAAAGAGGGTTTTTTTTAACCCTAGTTGAATGAGCATCATCTTCATCCATAAATAATGGTGAAAGTTTCTCCTATGCTAAATATGTAATCTAACCAATTTAACAATTTTCTTTGCACTGTTTCTCAATCTTAGCAACTTTAAGATAATTGAACTTCAACTCCCAGAATTCTGAGTTGTTCACTTAGAACTTGCCAAGGTTGAGAAATATTACAGTGTGTGAATCCAGCTTTTAGAGGAGTCTAAAATGAGCTTTCCCCACCCTGATGCCCTCCAAGGGCTTTTGATTTCAATTCCCATAATTTCCTGTTAGCATGACAGCAGCCAAGCTGGCTAAGAAATTATAAGCACGAAGTTCAATGTACTGTATCTGGAAATCTTCAGGGTGAGGAAGACTGCTTTAAATACTGTTGACTATGGCAAAATCTAGGTATAGATTTATCTAGGTGAATTCAGACCATTGACAAAGAAACCATTGCAGCACTTAATTTCTAGATTTCTATTAAGAATCTAAAAATAGAATCAAGCCAAGGCTCATCTTAGCCCAACGTTTTGTTTCTCACGGCAGCATCAGAGATGAAATGCACATCACATCTGCCATTGTTCCCTTGTAACTACTTGGAAGCATGCTGACTTCTGACCTGAAGCTGAAACTTTGCTGCTGTAAAGCCCTACAAAATTCTCAAAGCCACCCTGAACTGCTGCAATATGTTGATGGAATAAAATCTACCCTATTAGAGCAGTGTTACATACATTCAAATTTCAAATCCTCAGGCAGAAGATAGTGTGCTTCATTAAAGAATAAGCTGCTGACTACAGAAGCATTATATTTTAACTGCCAAGAAGAAAAACTTGACTGACCTTGGGTCCTAACACAGCAATGGTAGCAAGGAGATGGAGGATTTATTCTTCTATTCATTCTACAGAATAGCTTTCTTGAATAAGCCTGAGTCTCTTCATATTGCTTAATTGAAGGTAACATAAAACTACTTTTATGCTCCCAAACATTTTGGGAGAGGCAATCTAAAACAGTGCATAGCTGTAATAGTTAACCAGTTATAATACATCCACGAACATTTCAAATTGGAAAGGAGTCTTGTGAAGCAAATATACTCAGTTTCTCTGAATAGTAGTTCTCCAGGCGCTTCAATGAGGGAAGAGTCCTGATCTG